TGAACGAATAGAATGCGTTCCTCGCAATAACTTCGTTCAGCAAAACTTTGTTTTCAATGGTAAAAAATACGATCCTTTGAAAAAAAAATATGAAACAATCTTTTCTTAAATAAACAGTCAACTTCATACGAAGTGAAATCTTATAGTTTGTGTTTTTTCTTTCATTTAACAATTTGTACTAAAAGAAAAGAACTTTTCCATGTAATTCAAGCATCTATTCAATCATTTGTTGTTAACACGTTTTCTGCATGATCTTTTTAATTTGTTTGTTTTTATTGTTAACATGACTTTTCCACTGAACAAAACTTCATATTCTGCATTCAAAAAAAATATAATATAGTTTTCTTCTAAATTTAATTGAACCATCTGGATAACCCAATTTATAGTTTATTGGAAGTAGTGCAACTTTCCACCATAGACATATTTTCAACAATATTGTCAATTGTCAACATAGTTGTTATGTTGACAATTGCGAATAATTGCAAATTTCGTTATATTGAAGCTTTGTTATGAGATGACGTTACTGTATAATTATTATTTAGTAGTTTTTGTGTTTTTCATTAAAATAAAGTCCGATTGTAACAAAATGGTTTGGATATATTAATATTACATACTGAATTTATAACAACGATTTTATATGGTATTACTTAATACTTTTTTATGCGTTACTCATTAGTGAATGAACGATAGATACGTCGCTAGTATTCAGGTTGGCAATATAGCAGTATTGAAGTATAGATGAAGAATAGAACGCACAAAAGGCTTAATCCCAAAATTATACCGTGATCGAATTATGGTCATGACAATGATTGGTCCAAACCGCACCCAATATGTCGAACACATCAAACAAAAATAATCATCAATGCATCATACACATACGCACACGAGAATATTACACCGGTTACCCTGCGTATATGTGCATGTATGTGAGTGAGTGAGTGTGTCTGGTATATAAAAAGCAATTAATTTTTGTTTGTGTTGCATGTAAATGGACGTTATTGATTTACGCTATAAAATATTAAATGCTTTTTAATAACATTTTTAATATGCGGAATTTAATTTCGTAATATTTTTCAGCCAGCCGAAAAACACTGGCGCGCACCATCAAAACCCCACCTCCACAATCGCCGCAAACCCTCGATTTTAAATCATCCCCCCGAATCCGCATTTTCCGCACCTCGTTCAACGACCACCCTCCCTCTCCCCCGAATGGTGTATCAAAGTCAACCCCTCATAATTAGTTTATCCCAATTTACTCTGGAAAAAAAATCAACAAAACTACGTTTTCCATCATTTACTATTCTATTTTTCATATATGGCAAAGTTTCGGTGAGTGAAACAAAGGACGAAAAGGCTGTTTCGAATATTATTCCCGAGCCGTCCGCGGTAGTCAATTCAATCAACGCACCAGTTTTTACCCTCAAAAACGATAAAGAAAAAATTAAGGCACGAACAGAAAAAAACGTACAGGAAATATGCGATTTATTTTCGGTAACGATAAAAAAGAAAGCAACAACTGTATATGTGTAGTATGTGAAAGAGAAACATGCGTTTCCGGTTCTTTTGATTCGCTTTACTAACATTGCCCTATTATTAATCGGTTTCATTTTCGAAACTTTTCTACATCGAGTTTGTATCAGGATATTTGTTTTGTTTCAATTGAAAAAGTTTGTTAGTAATAGAAAAATATATAATATTTACACAACCATTTGATTATGACGATTATAAAACATAATCACATAAACCAAGTGAATTCAAATACTTATGTAATAATTTAAAACAAAATCTAATATCAATTAGAAAAAAGTTAGTTACCAATAAGATAAATACAACTAACTAGTTGATTAGAAGTATACATCAGAATCCAATACAAACCTAAAAATATAGTTAGGCCTCATTTATTGCGTATATGTTCCTAAAAGACAAACGCTATACAAATAACTTTGAACGAGGCTTACATTAATATAGTACTATTTTTAACATTTACATATTCGAAGTTTACATATTCATTAGTCAAGAATTTAATATTTCAAGGTAGCTCATTGTATTGGGATATACATCTAGTTTTAATTCGAAAAATTTAATGTTATGAATAAGAAATCCCTATTATTTGATTACGTAGACAAATTACAAACATTTGAAAATAAATGGAAATATGTGTCGTTTTATTACTCGCGAATCAAAGATATAAACCATTTGCAGTATTTTCGAGACGTATTTTGTTAACACAAGTGTCAAGTCTACAAAATTAACGTTATAATATGACGGAGTCGTCAGAAAAATACTGGGCGGATATATCCGCCGCTTGTGAGCAGATTCAATTTGAAAAATTGCATGTTATAAGTAAATCAACCTCAGCTTCAATATTACTTTGTAATTTCAGTTAAAAATTAAAAATAATAAATAATAAAACAATGCATATTTAAACTAGTTTAACTAATGTCTAAAAAATTGTATTAAATAATTGAATACCTACTTATGGTTTGTAGTTTTGTCGATTTATAAATAATAAAGTGAAAAAGATAAATGTGTAATATAGAAGCAATAATGTATTTTCAAGATGGGGTAGTTCAATAATCATCGATAAATGAATATTAAAACTTATTTAATCAATAAATGAGTATTAAGCAATTGAACACTCATTTAACAATAAATGTCTAAATATTTTATATTTCTTTCATTTTGTTAGTAAATTGTTTAATTTGTGCTATTAGTATGTTGTTATTCGTTCAATATTATTTCTCTATTGTTAGCAAACGAACTAATAGTGTAATATATTAGGAATACATAACAGTATTTTATCAGTAAAATTAATTAATGTTTTACCAATGTAATAACCAGGACAGAAAGACCAATGGTCAATAGTCCTTTCTAGCAGATCAATTTGTTTTGCTTTACTTTCTTGCTATATTATATATGTAGTATGATTTGTTACAATAAATGTTATTACTATTGTAATAACCAATATAGCTATTCTTTCATAAAAACAAATGTCTAAAATTGCATGTGTTGTTTTGTAATTATGATAGATGACGACCAAATGTAGTTTGAAAAACAGAGCATAATGATTAAATTTAAACAATATTCTGTATGTATATTATAATCACCCAACAATAGTAAAAATAACATATTTGTATTAATTCTAAACAAATTTACATTATAGAGCGTTTTTATGTTGGATGAATCATTAGACTAATTAAAGTATAGTATCTTATACATTCTTATACTCAAATTGTTTATATATAATACATAATTGAATAACTATTAATATTTTTTTAGTAAAAAAAATATATTTAAAAAAAAAAATCAAAATCATTGAAACAATATATGATTTACTTAAGTTGTCAGTTATTAATTATGAAATCTAAACTTGCCCATAATGTGTTCAAAAAAATTTAAATGACTGATGAAGAATTTATGATTGTTTAAGTTTAAATTAAAATTGTTTTTTGGTTGGATAATTTATTTTACAGAATGTCCTTTTTTGCACAATTTTTTGTCAATCATAATGTATTCTCCTGGCGGAAAGATCTTCAATCAGTATGTTAAATATAAATATTTCATTTGACATGTACTTAATATTTTTATTGTTCTTTTTTGGGAAAGTTAATAATTAATATACATAAAATTCTATTATGTGTTTAACAAAATGTTGTAATTACTAACATTGACTTTTTGACAAAGAAGTATACATTTAATTTGCTTTCTTTTAATATTCAATTAGTTTATCTATATATTGTTCATATTTGATACCAGTATATTATTAACGCACGTAAAGTAACGTAATTACGTAACTTTCCCAGCATTAATGTTTGGACAATGCGTGTCGTGAGATAATGGTAATCGTTATGAGGATTAGGTAGTAAAGGAAACACAATGTCAAGCACATGTGTGTTATACAACAACAGGATTGGCAGAAAAAAGGTGCGAAATGAAGAGAAACGAGGTGCTTTGGGCTTTGTTGCAAGACCGCAGTATCTGGTCCTGGGTGTTGTTATGTATGCGTGTGTAAACAATGGAAGAACGAGGCGCCGATTAGACCCCGGGGGGCAGTTTGTGTCCCTAAACTAGTTATGCCCTTATTTCGTTACACGTCGAACCAACCCCTCATGTGTTAGGATCACCCTTAATATCGCATCCCATTTTAAGCACTAAACATTTCCTCAATCTTGTACACTCTAATTAAAGCAGAAATTGTAATAACATCCCCGTTATACATGACAACAAATACGTTCTCGTTTTAAGCAATAACTCTGATTGTGCTATTATGGAAAATCTTTAATTAATTGTGAATTTTGCAATAATTCATACTTATTTTCAAATTCATCATACTTATTTTCAAATTCATCATACTTATATTTGATAATCATCAATTTTAAGATAATAATGATATAAAATTATGTCAATTAGATTAAAAGATAAAAATTGAAAACATGATATTATATTCAATCATATCCAATTACTAACAAAATATTTACTTTACAATTATTTTTAGTTTTTTAATTATGTTTTATAATGTTTATGTTAATAAAATATAAATTTTAATTCAGTAAAGTTAGTGTATTCAAGCTTCTGTATTTATTAAAAATTTAATTCCATTCTTCCAATTCTTTAGGTTTACAAATTTTTACAAAATGCTTTCATATTTTAATTATTATAATTATATGGGAATAACTTTGCCTTTTTTTAATACTTTATATTTGTTAAGAATTGGGGGAAATTATTAGGCAGAAAATGTTTTCAACAATACAATTATGTGCCATAAATTGATAATAATTTTAAAGCAAGAATTCTTTAAAATTTACCATATTGTTGCGAATGCATCTGTCCGAAAGAAATCAATCAAGTTAATCCCATCCATTTTCTGACTGCACACGAACATCCAAATCTAATATAGATATACACCTCGATAACGGACCACGCACATCTGGTCCATCGATTTTTCAGAAAAGAATTCGAAATTTTCTTCAGAAGCTTATGCTGTTTGTTGTTGTTAACAGGGAGTGGCCATTCTGCACATCCGGCAAATATTTCCATAAGATGTGCAGGGCGGAGGACACGGGCCAAGTCACAGCGGGTGTCCATCCTATCCCACAATGGTAACAACGATCTTAAGCCGTCTTTCTGCATCAAGATCCGACAGAGATACCGTAAACACGTGAAATGTAATACAGTTTCTTGTGCTCTTTTCAGCGCCCCCTGAAAGAATGAAACAACCGCATTGTTGCTTGTTGTTTGCGGTCTTCCGCATGTTTGTACCCCACAATGACCTCTTCGGTTCTTCCCCGTTCTTCGGAGGCGTGAATGGGAATGTTATGGGTATTGCTTCGTGAGCCCTTGTTAGCACCTCTCCAGAATACAATTTATTGTTCTGATTGTATATTTTTCTGTTTGAGCGTATATAAAAAAAGGGAGAATGCGTGAGCTAGAACATAATGAAATCTGTTCTTTCATTGAGCTGCTACGAGGTGAGAGGGATGAGTCTTCGCACTAGACTTTCCGCATCGTCGACTAATCTCATCCAATGAGATGCTGAAACCTCATAAAACTCTTAGAAGAAAGTTTTCTTCAATGGAGTAGAATATATTAGAAGCCTATTTTACAACATAATAATGTAATGGAATAAACTTCAATGGGACACAATGAACTGTATACAAATTACCTTTGTACAAAGATAGATACAACCTGAAATATATATTATTTAATATCTATTATCTAAAATTATGTATTATCTAAATACAATCAATATTTTCTTACGTACATACATTTAAACTTTATGCAATCTCTTGCACAGTTATATGACAATTTGGTCATCATAAACTTCAGTAGATCGAATGTTGGTCATCCTTGAGTGATAACTATCCAAGACGGATTTCTTTAAACTAATTCTGACACGTTCATTCCATTAAACAGTCAACATTTTGCTTTTTGAGCCTCAGCAACTTTCTTGCCCTATACGGAAATAAAAAAGCAAAATATTTTGAAAATGATGATAATTTAGATATCAATTTGAGGGGTTATTTTAATTAATTAAATTATTTCTTTATATAAAGTATATGACAATTTTTATTTCTATTTGAAAAAAATATTTGTTTTTTGATTGAATTCATTTAAAACGTAAACGCTGTAGAATATTTAAAATATTAACGCTTCCGTTCTGGTAATATTTCTGGTAGGCCAATCGTCGAAAATGCTGATAAAATCATTTAAATCGTCGACTCGGACCTGCATGCGAGCTCTTGTTCCATTGCTCAGGAACTGAAGATTAGCTAGAAAACCATTTGCATAGGGATGATCTCAAGAAAAAGCTCGATGAATGCGACGAAAGGCTCAGAACTTTTTATTTCACCCAATATTTTACTTAACCTTTAATTACTCACGAGGCGTGAAATGAGACAAAAACAAATTATCAGAAACTAATGATAGCAGTGATGATGAAGTTATTATTTTTATATGTTTAGGAAATAAAGCATCTTAGAAGGTAATATGTTTTATTTTTTCCTCAATCTAATCAATTATATTTTATAATTATATAAATAATTATATTTATATAAATTAATTAGTTACGTTATATTTAACAGAGTTTCACAAACGCCACGCGAAAAAGGCGCGCGAATAACAGTAAGTTAAATAATTGTATATCCGTTACAAATAAACGTTTTTTAGCTTAATATTCAATAATTGCAAAAAATATAATTGTGTCCACTTTGTACAATTCCAAAAACGAATTTAGTTTTATACAATATAATGATATATTTCATTCTACTTTTTTTTTCTTTAAATTATTGTTTTTATACATCTTTTTGACATATATTTCTTTAACTCATTCTAAAATTATGGACTCAATATAAATATATTAATAAAGTATTTAAATAATTGCTTGATTAAATTGTAATTGAACTTTATTTTCAGGATTCAAAGATAGAGAAAAACAAATAACAAAATACACATCAAATTATTAAAGCAACTGTTTCCAACATTGCATAACACACATCAACTTCTCTGACATAAGTCATTCGATTTGTTACATTTATCTGAAGATTTAAACGTCCCGAACGCGCGCGTGCTTTTTTTCCGCCAATGGTACACAAATTGAATAAAACTCCGTGAAAATTGTTTTCCCTTAGCAGTTTCCTATTTTGTTTAGGGCGATATGAACGAGATAATGCTGTTTTTTCTTTCCTTTTTTACTAAATGTTTCCGAATCAATTTTAGCTGGAATACTCATAAAGCGGAGGAAAGATAAAGAGTTTAAAAAGCTCAAGAAGGATAAAGAAGGAGAATAGGGAACGGGAGAGAATCAGGATGAAGGGAATGCACGTGCATTATGAGCCAAACTGGATTTATGTCTCGCATAATATTTTCCCCATTTTATCTAATATCTTCTCCTTCGTAAACGAAACGACGAGGAAATGTCGCTTTATATAAAGTATTCTGTTGTATTCACTTTATTTTTTAAAGGTTTTCAGGGCGATTCCATTATTTTTACAGTTACGAAATATAGGACTAATAAATATTTTATAAAACAAATTGTTCTAATTATGCAAATATTGAAAGAGAAATATTATTTTTTAAACTCTTTCAAAATAGTAAATTATATACATTCACTATTTTGCAAGAGTTTTACAAAGAATTTATTGCAGGGATTAACAAATTGGATGCGTTCCATAAAATTACTTCGTTAAGCGAAATTAAGTTAATTTATAAAGCAAATTAAAAGCTTTGTTTCGAACATAAAAGTTTTATTAAATAAACGGTCAAATTACATTTTAAAGACTATTTGTACTTTTTTTTATCTTTCAATTAACAGTTATCCATTGGGATTTAATGCGTTTAATACTAATTGCAATAATACTTCTTAAATCAGGATTATTACCATTTTTTTCATCAGAAACTTTTTTAATTTGATCTTTATTTTCTTTGTCTTCCTTGCTAATTAGGTTTTCTACATCTACCAAATATTCTGTATCAATAAATATATAACATTCCCTTTAGCATTATTTTCGAAACCTTTATATATTATTTTCTGGTTGTCCTAAAATTAGAATATTTTTATTTTAATTTCTACTTGAATAATAACTATATTTAATTTTATCCAAAAACTCGATCGCGATAATTGATAGGATGAAATAATAGGAGATGAACAAACTGACAGAGACACAGAAGAATGAAATTCACCACAAACTTAGGTGGTTTAGATTATAAGTTAATCTAGGGTAGTTACTTATTAAGAAATCAAGAAAACGTTAAATGAGGTCTTACTGTATATTTTTGCGATTACATTTTATTAAATTTATAAAAAATAAATTCATCATTATTATTAAATTTTCTTTCTTTTTGTAATAATTTTACACAAAAAAAATAAGTTATTATATTTGGAATTGGAAAGATTCAGTTAAATAGTAAGTATCCGTTGATGATGTTTCATTATGAATATAAAGAGGTATGAACTCGTTAATACAGAATATTAAACAGCCCCCAGTGTAAATGGAACGAAAGATCGACCAAATTTGAATCTCAAATTACGAGTTAAATTGAGTCGTCCCGAAATGGGTGATGATTAGATTACCAAGGGTTTGCGTAATATTGGGGTGATTGCACGTTGTTGTTGTTGATGATGAAGAAATGACGAGGACGAAGAAACAATCGAGCTAACGCACAATGTACACAAATTTGCTTCGTAACATTATTTTTTTGTTCTTCTTTCGTTCATCGCTGTGTGTGTGTGTGTATTTTTGCATCCCCCTCGTGCCTCCTCCACCCACCACCCATTGTGTATCAAAATATAATAAAAACGATTTTCACATTGGCGGCTCCCATCTGGCGTTCTATCTTCGAACTAATCGCATTACGTACTCCATTTTTGAAGCGCCCCGCGTCGGGCGAAAGCAATTCAATTTAAAAGTCATTTGTACCATGCACGAAACACTGTTAGCATCGTTAATAATGATAATAATTTCATAATAATTTCATTTACTTCGTATATTTATGTACATATATAAAAATATATATATAAAGAAATATACAGTCTGTGCTCATTTTTACATACATAAATTGTCGTACGCTAAGCGTTCGCACAAACGTACTAATTGCTCATACAAAGGTACTTATTGAGATTTGATTTATAAAATTGCATTTGCATGAATAAAATAAAAAGATATATCAATCTTTCCACCCGAATTAGGTTTATTTTAGGAAATTTCGAATATCTTCTGGCATTTTCTTGTCAATATGTTTTATCGTGTTTTCCATATTTTTATTTTGGTTTTTCGATTTTTACGATGTTTCGTTAAAAGGCCAAAAAAATTTGAATAAATATTTATATCGCTTCACGGCCAACTTTACCGTAAAGGGTCGTAAAGCGAGATAAGGGTGTATTATATAATTATTTGATTTTTATACTTAAAATGTATATTGAATGTTATAAAATTTTATTTATCTTATCAAATTTTTATTAATTTTATATTATATTTTCCTAATTTTATAATAATTAGATAATTCTTGCAGTATAATTTATATAATATTTCTCTAGCTTTTATAATCACCTTATTGGTAACTCGATATAGGATGAATGCAAAAACACACACAAAAAAACTTGTTTCATATTTTCCTTTTCCCTTTTGATATTGTTGCAACAGCCGTTTTGTAAAACTGTAACCGACTGCGTTCGGCCTATTAACAAGGGATTAGTGGCATAAGCGTTTCCCTTTCTCGTGTTGTCTGCTTTTGAAAAGTGTAACCTGTAATTTAGAGATTTGCATTGATTCAATATACGAATTCCCTTTTTGGTCGATGCTGCTGCAGCAACAACCCTTTTCGGGTCCAATAATGGAGCGCCCTGCGGTGAGCACCAGTAATGACATCTGGCAGTAATGGAAAAGACACCTACTTCGTCGTATCGCTGCTTTTTATCGCTGATTTCGTTCTGTTGCATTATTTTTTCTTTCTTTCTTTTTTTTGTTAATGGGGGACCAGACATTGTTATATTGGATCATAATTATACCTTTCCCAGATTTCATCCTCATCTCGTTTGCAGAGCGGAGCGAAAAATTGCAACTAAATTGATTTAATGTTAGGGTAAACCATCTGGTCATGGCGTACTCGACGTCATCAAACGAAAATCAATTTCGAATTGAGCAGAGTTTAGCAATTGAAATAACTCATTAGAGCAACATTGTTTCTCATTTTTTTAATTTCCGGATGGACAAAACGGAACAGAAACAACAATAACAAACAAAAACACAAAAAATATCTAAAACATACTACTCCTACCGATTTCATGTATTTCTGGTCTACCTTCCCAATTATTTCTGTTTTTTTATTATTTTTTTCT